ATATCAAAAGAACATATGGTAGAACAAAGCTGCTTATCTCTGGCCAGAAAGCTAGGAAGAGGAAGATGCCCTTCAAGGGCATGCCCCCAAAGACCTGAAGACCTCACACTAGGTCCCATGCAAAGTTCCACCATGACCCAATAATGTCATGAGCTGAGGTCCAAGCCTCCAACAGATGCGCTTTTGGAGAACATTTAAAATCCAAACTGCAGCAGGTAATTTGCCTCTGTTAACTTGCTCATTAATTTAAAGTGTTTGGAAATTACGGAAGTACTATCAAATGAACTTGATACTAACTTCTGTTTTGTTGGAGGAAAAGATTGAAATGAGAGAAAATGATGTAAGTGTATGTAGTTTCCAATTAAATGGATTATACTGTAACTCAGTCATTTGGAACCTGGAATTCATTCTCTTGTAGTAACATTGTCAGTGATGATAACTGCTGTGAACAGACTGTAAGTGTAATGAATGAGAATTATAAGCATTGTAGTATTTAGTTTTGAATAGTAAAAGTCAGGGAACCATGACTTCCCAAAAGGAGAATGAAGAAGTGTCATTTTCCTCTCAAGTCTGTCTTGATTATTGTATATTCCCTTATAACTGGGAACTTTCTTCCCCCATGAAATTATTCAAAATAGGGTGTTAGTCTTGCATCTGCATGACTTAAGGTTTTAATCCTGCATCTAAAGATAATAATGAGTCAACATCTCCTGAGCATCCTTCATGAGCCACTGGGCAGGATCCTGGTGATACAAAGGCAGAAGAGACTTGACTGCTGGCTAACAGCGTATATGTACCCCTTCTCATTCTTGTCCTATGTATCCTTTAAAAACTGACAGTGGCCTCTGCCCTTCATCTGTTAGTTATGGTTCCCTTCAGGGTTACCATTCTGATCTCATCTCAAGGACCCTAGATGTAATTTATCTGAGTTGTAACAGATTTCAGCTGTTGAGTATTTTCACAATGTTTTCGAGATTCTCAGTTACCAATATTCATTCATTTGACTTTTTCAAGTGTAACAAGGAGGAATTGTGGATTAATGGGAAGATTTTTCTAGTCGAACTTGGGTTTTGATCATTTGTACTTATCAGTTAATGTATAGACATAGACAAGTTTTCATTGTCCTGAGCCTTGATTTCATCTTCTCTAAAGTAGATACAGGGGTTGTTAACCTCATCTGCTGTGAGGATAGAAATACAAATCGTTTAGCCCAGCATTTGCCGCTCTAGGTGCTCCATAAATGTTCCCTGCTGTTCTTAATTCTCTTTGCCTTTGGCATCTGTCAGCTCTACAATCACTGGCCCTGAATTGTAGACTCAACTTTTTAAAATCGTCTTAACTGAAAACGTCTACAGAAGCTGTTTATCTTAGCATTTCTGTAAGCTTCAATCCATTTACAGCTTTGTTCTAAAATATGTGTATTCATCTTAGTCTTTCATCATTTATCCATTTTTAAGTAGGTCATTGGAATGTAGTCAAGAGTTAACACCGGCCTCTGGATGGTTTCCTGCTTTTCTTGGGGAACATGCTGGCAGAGCCAGCATTGCAATTTTGAGAGCCATCTTTTGAGTCTCATACATGGAGTCATGCATTTAGAAAATATTTTTATATTATGCTTTTCTAAATGATGTGTTTAGGCTACACCCAGACTTTGCCTTTCTGGTTTGTATAAATTCCAGGATAGTCTGTTGCTTTCTCCAAAGTGCTTAGACTACTACTCTAGAATTCTTTGTTCCTTTTGCTACAACACTTTGCTTTAAAGAGGATAGTTCCATTAATTTTTACACAAAAGTGTATAGAGTAAGGTTAAAGTGTGTGAGTTAACAAATTCTCATAGAATGCCTTGTACTTGTCTGGCCTTGGACTGGGTGCTGGGAATGCAACAGTGAACAAGAACAACTCCATTCCTGTCCTCCTGGAGCTTATTGTCCTGGAAAGAACACTTACCTTTCTGAATTTTACAAATGTTTACAAATAATTATTGATCATAAATGTCCAGAATACTTATTTTTTAAAATATGTGGTATTTTAGTCCAGTTAAAGGAACACATCTTAGAAAGTAATTAAGGGTGTTTCATACATTGTCATGAGATTTAGTGGTACCAAAATACACCATTCTCAAGTGGAATTTTTGAATGTGTACTGAGAAAATATATTTATTAAATATTTCCATAAAATGATTCTTAGTTTTCTTCATTGATACTAAATTTCAGGAAGAAGAATGGTAATGGGAGACTAAGGTTTATTTCTTTTAAAATAGTGGAACTTGGCATCAAGAAAGATACTGATGCAAGTAAAATATAGAGGAGTGAAAAATGATAGATAACCTGGGCTGCCAGCAGCTTTGACCAGAGCATTCATAACTCAGAAAATTTGAAGGGAAGATGCATCAAGAGCGAGTCTGCTCGCCAGTGGCTGAGAGCAAAGAGTCAGTTTGTGCCCACTGCCAGTCAAAGATAGCAATGTGTTTAGGTTGGCATAGCAAATAAGCTCATGGGAATCTGAAAAGGTGGACATCTGGGCTGCCTGTCAGTTTGACAGAGTTCTATGAAAGCACCCTATGCTATACTTGGAACATAGTCCTTTTTTTATTTGCAGTAAGGACAGACATGGGTGATTCTTTAAGGTCACTGCTGCCTTTTGTTTGCTTTCACTTCTCACTTTGAACCTGTCACTGGAGATAGTGAAGGGGATCAATTTTGATCAAACCTGGTATGTGTGTGTTGAACATTTACCAGGCGTCAGGCACTAACACAATCTCTTTTTATGTTTTGTGACAACTCAGAGGTACTCATTAGTGATAAAGACACCAAGTTCAAAATTGGAAATCCTGCCCAATGTAGAGCCCTTCCCAGAGCCAGGACAGGAGAACAGGTCCATCTCTGCCCCCAGAGCCTGTGCTCTTAGTCACCCTTGTTCAGCCTCACACTAGAAAAGGAGTATCTGAGTGTGTGTTCTGAGTGACCTCTGTCTCATGTTAGGCAGGAAGTACAAAGGAATGGAGAGAGAGAGAGAGAGAGACATTTATGCAAACAGCTGCCCCTAGGTTTCTAATCTGAATTGGTCCTAATATTTTGATTTCTACAAGAATATCTCATGTAAGAAACTAGATAGTAGACCAATTTTGTTTTACCTTGCTTCAGATCAAGACCCAGTCCCCAAATATGAAAATCTGCAGATAGAATGTCATAGATGATTGCAGTGTAATGGCAAAGTTACCAGTTAATTTCATATGTTCCATTATACAGTGAGCCCAGGTGACCCCAAAAGACCCAAGGCCAAAAGAATCTGAAAATGGTCATCCACGTTAAGCGGTTTCCACCTGTCTTTGACTTCTTTATCCCTGGAAGGTGTTAGGAAACTTGGATTCAGGTTTCACCTCCACTGCTAGCAAGCTTCATTACTAGTTGGCCTGGTTGCATAATCTTTCTAAATTTCATCTGCCAAAATGCAAATGGTGATTCCCTGCCTAGATTACACCACTGTTGCTTATTCTAAAAGATAAATTCACCTTTATTCCATAGTCATAGATAAGAAATTTGACTTTAAAATCAGATATAATCAATTTAAAATATTACTGAACTCAAATAGAATGACAGAAGTGTAATATTTGGAGAACCTAATCACAGTTCAATCTTGGGCTATTTATATTTAATTAAATGAAGGGTATGTATAGGTGCTGTTCCTTCTTTTTTAAAAAATATTTTTTAGTTGTAGTTAGACACAATACATTTATTTTATTTTATGTGGTGCTGAGGATAGAACCCAGGGCCCTGCACGTGCTAGGCGAGCGCTCTACCGCTGAGCCATAACTCCAGCCCCTATCTACTATTCCTTCTAAGTCTGGACATGTTTTGGCTATTCTGTTCTTTCTGTAACTTTCCAGCCAGTATGAAACGGGAAATATTAACCCAATTGGAAGGCTACTGGATCAGTACGCATTCATGTAAATAAGATTTTGTTTAATAGTCTAGATACCCTATCATAAACTGTGGGGCCGAGAAAAAGAATGAAAAACAGTAGAGGTGAATTAATTTTAGGTACTATATAATTAATCATATTTTTCCAAACATCTGTGAGTTATGTGAAAATGGTACATTAGTAGTTTAATTAGTCCACAATGTGATGAGGTAGAGGATGACTTCATTTTACACACACACACACACACACACACAACTCAAACCTAGATTCTTTGATTCTATTTGTCTGAATTACAAGAAGCCTGAC